TGTCTATCTTGCAGGCAGGTGATATCATAACATTAGACAACTAGATATCAACTGTTCAAGGTAAATATCACGCATGGCTGAAGTCCCTTGTTTAGTGGTGACAGTGTCCTTCACTAACAAGTTAGTGCCTCACTCCTAACTACTCCTCGTCGTAGTTTCCATCAGCATTTAAGATATATAAGGTGGATGTATTTAAGAGGCACCTAGATAAGTTCTTGCAAGAAGTGCCGGGCCAACCGGGCTGTGGTGGGTATGTCGGCCTGTGGGCCGCTCCAAGCAACAGCCTGGTGGACCAAGTTATCATAAGTCGAGCCCTGGCCCCAAGCCAGGGGTCGGGAAGTATTAGAACTCCCGACACCCTCTACAGGTATACTCCAGGTATCCATGGATTGTTCCCAGTACCACAATACCACAATATACTATAACATTGCCATATTTCAAACAATGTCTGGAGGGTAGAGCGACGGTCTCACTTCATGTAGGTCGGCGTTCAATTCCCCGACCGTCCACAAGTGGTTGGGGCACCATTCCTTTCCCACCGTCCCATCCCAAATCCTTATCCTGACCCCTTCCCAGTGCTATATAGTCGTAATGGCTTGGCGCTTTCCCCTGATCATTCCCTCTCTCGACCAGTGCTAAACTATGCTGCACCAGCATGTAACCCCACTTTAAAAAGTGCAAACCAAAGACTTAATACGGAGATTCGATGCAAGTCTTAGAGCTGAGAATACTGAGCTACGGGGGAAAAAACTGTAAAAAAACATAACAATATTTTGAAGAAATGGAGAGGACACATGATTCATACATATAAAATACTCAGGGGTGTCGACTAAATGCGGGGCCTAGAGCCTAAGCTCGATCCTGCACACACACACACACACACACACACACACACACACACACACACACACACACACACACACACACACACACACACACACACACACACACACACACTCATCTCCACACAAACAAAACAAGTACACACAAGAGACAACAATGACCGTTTAAACCACTAAATCAACACAAACATACAACTAAACCAGTGTTTTATGACCTTTGTAACACCTAATGACCCTGAGTGACCTTGCCAGTGTGATGGTGGGATGGGAAGGTCACGCCACACCATTGAGGTCAAATTACCTCCGCTAACGACAGAGATGACACCATTACTTGTCTCTGAAGGAAGTTGAAGAACCTCAGCTGACGGTATCAGACAGTTGACGGTATTACAGACAGTTGACAGTATCAGATACACAGTTGACAGTATCAGAGACACTTGACGGTAAGACAAATTCCTAATCTCAATAGATAGACATTACTAACCTCTCTATAGACAGAAATGACTAACCTCACTAGACAAAAATTACTCATTTCACTATACATATGTTACTCATCTCAACAGACAGTAATTACTCATCTCAACAGACAGTAATTACTCATCTCAACAGACAGTAATTACTCATCTCAACAGACAGTAATTACTCATCTCAACAGACAGTAATACTCATCTCAATAGACAGTAATTACTCATCTCAACAGACAGTAATTACTCATCTCAATAGACAGTAATTACTCATCTCAACAGACAGTAATTACTCATCTCAACAGACAGTAATTACTCATCTCAACAGACAGTAATTACTCATCTCAACAGACAGTAATTACTCATCTCAACAGACAGTAATTACTCATCTCAACAGACAGTAATTACTCATCTCAACAGACAGTAATTACTCATCTCAACAGACAGTAATTACTCATCTCAACAGACAGTAATTACTATTCTAAATAAACAGAAATTATTAATTTCAATATACAAGTGTCTTTATTGTCACTTCTGGGCTACTTTTAATAAAGTAACCCACTTTATCACACACACACACACACACACACACACACACACACACACACACACACACACACACACACACACACACACAAAAGCACCTACGTATGTATATTTTCCCCTCGATGGCATTATGTATGAATCCTTGCATCAGCTGCAATTCCTGAGATGTGTATACATGATGAGAGCGTTATGAATACTGATACATCCCTACGAAACGCACTTATGTATTTTATGTATAAATACTTAAGGCATTCTGTGAATATTGATCGTTCATACTCAGACGTAATGTATTTATATATCCAATGATATATATACACACACCTGTATGGATATATATCATATACACCTGTCATATACACCTGTATGACAGGTGTATCCTGTACTCAGGTGTGTCTAAGGCATTTCTTAATTAAGTATTCTTCGTATTGAAAAAAAAATGTACTGGATTGTAGGTATTTTTCAGTACTCGGCTCAGCAAAGGTGTTCACTGACAGGTGTGTCCCAGGTGTGTGTCCCAGTGAACACTTGAGGGACAGGTGTGGTTCCGGGCTTGTTCAGGCAGGTGTGTTAATTAACAACAGACGCATATTCTAGTTCTTGCATCAACAGGTGTGACAGGTGTGTTAAGTCTGTATCTCAGTACTCGTATTCCAGATGGGGTGATCCTATACCTGTTCCAGCAGGTGTGTTTTGGCTGGTAGCTGTGTCCGCGTATGTGTCCTCGACTTCAATTCCAGTGGTATACTGATTCGCATGTATCCTTAAGTCCATATTCCAGTCATATACTGAGTCGTATGTATCCTTAAGTCCATATTTCAATTCTATACTGACTCGTATGCGTTCATCTTCCAATTATACAATGCGTCTTGTGCGTGCTTCAGCCCTTAGTCCAGCTAATGCGCCCTGGATGAGAGATGCTTCCAGTTCTCTGGACTCCATAGCCGTTACCTCGACGCATGCGCATTGAATCATGTGGCTCCATTACGTCAAGCGAACGCGTGACAAAGAAATGTTTGCTAAATTTCAGGCTATGTCACGCTACGAGATATAGTTACGAGGCGGACGTAACCCCCGTTCACGTTGGCGAAGCATTTGCGTCTGCTGGATGACGGATTCGATTGATTAATTGGGATTAAGTCGCCCAAGAGGTGGCACGGGCATGAATAGCCCGTAAGACATGCGTTGTTGCCGTTGTAATAGGGGCATGGGTATATTGACCCCCATGCAGCTGTGTGGTTACAGGTGTTAAGGTGTAGATATCTTAGATATCTTGATATAGATACCTTATATATCTATAGATGGATATCTTATATAGATACCGCAAGTGTATAAACACCTGTTTGTTTGTGCTTATTGTTTTTGGTCTAAGTTAGAAAAACAGATGATTTCAGTAGAATTTATATACCTTTGGAGGGTTATTAAGGCCTATTAACTTCTGGAGGGTTATTAAGGCCTATTAACTTCTGGAGGGTTATTAAGGCCTATCAACCTCTGGAGGGTTATTAAGGCCTATTAACTTCTGGAGGGTTATTAAGGCCTATTAACTTCTGGAGGGTTATTAAGGCCTATCAACCTCTGGAGGGTTATTAAGGCCTATCAACCTCTGGAGGGTTATTAAGGCCTATCAAGCTCTGGAGGGTTATTAAGGCCTATCAACCTCTGGAGGGTTATTAAGGCATATTAACTTCTGGAGGGTTATTAAGGCCTATCAACCTCTGGAGGGTTATTAAGGCCTATCAACCTCTGGAGGGTTATTAAGACCTATCAACCTCTGGAGGGTTATTAAGGCCTATCAACCTCTGGAGGGTTATTAAGGCCTATCAACCTCTGGAGGGTTATTAAGGCCTATTAACCTCTGGAGGGTTATTAAGGCCTATTAACCTCTGGAGGGTTATTAAGGCCTATCAACCTCTGGAGGGTTATTAAGGCCTATCAACCTCTGGAGGGTTATTAAGGCCTATCAACCTCTGGAGGGTTATTAAGGCCTATCAACCTCTGGAGGGTTATTAAGGCCTATCAACCTCTGGAGGGTTATTAAGCCTATCAACCTCTGGAGGGTTATTAAGGCCTATCAACCTCTGGAGGGTTATTAAGGCCTATCAACCTCTGGAGGGTTATTAAGACCTATCAACCTCTGGAGGGTTATTAAGACCTATCAACCTCTGGAGGGTTATAAGACCTATCAACCTCTGGAGGGTTAATAAGACCTATCAACCTCTGGAGGGTTATTAAGGCCTATCAACCTCTGGAAGGTAATTATGCCTATGAACCTCTGGAGGGTTATTAATTAAGGCCGCCACACTGGTCTAATGACCATCCTGCAAATATACTTTAGTCTTGAATATAATCCAGAACTAAAGTATACTCACAGTGTACGTATACCACGCGTGTACCTCAGGGAGGTATATCACAGTATATTTATATATATATATATATATATATATATATATATATATATATATATATATATATATATATATATATGATATATATATATATAATATATATATATATATATATATATATATATATATATATATATATATATACATATGTGTATGTGTGTGTGTATATACATTGAAGAGTGTATATCGCTCTAAGATTATATGTTTCGTGTTTTCCTGGAGGCCACTAGAGAGACAGTGGCCCTGCAGGTAAATTCAGGTAAGCCTCTGGCGCTGGACTAGTATTTTATACAAATTATTGGTTATACACGAGAGAATGTATGATGGCGGCGGGTCATGTATGATTGTGATGATACATGGTGATGATATATGTCTTTCTTATCAGGTCCAGTAGGAGAAATAGCAAAATGTTTCTTCAGACCACCAACTTCTAACCGGACTAAAAGTACCTGCTGACCAGACCAACCTAGATTCTGACCAGTTACTAAAATTAGATGGTGGCCAGAGTAGGATAGGTCTTGACGAGACCGAAATTAGCTGCTAATCAGACCACACTAGGTCCTGACCGCACCAAACAAAGTCCTGAACAGACAAAGCTATTTTTTGACCGACCAAACCAGTTTTTGACCAGACCAGACCAGTTTTTGACCAGACCAAACCACATTTTGACCAGACCAAACCACATTTTGACCAGTCCAGCTGCTGGCCGGGGATTTCAGAACTTCAAAACACAATTTACTCACCTGAATTTCGTCTTGAATATCTCCTTTACATCCAATCACTTCTTCACAGAAATATCCCCCATCTAATCGTCTTTCCTTACTCCCAATCGTATCCTTCTGGTGTTACAGCACTGACAGACACACTAACACAGCAACAAGAGCATATATATGGTAAGTTATCCAATGTTGTGAGAGTAATCTACCACCACACAACCTTCCCACTCGAAATATTTGGGTGCACTGACTCGTTCTTCTCCTCCCTCACCCGACACACGCTGCCCAAACTCTCGTACCGCCGGCATCCTGCTTAACGCCATAGATACCAAGCCAATGTCAACATTAAATTAGGAAATGTATATATTTATCTCTCAGAGTGTTTGGTAATATGTTTATTGTTTGTGATGTGTGTCTATGTATGTATTAACACGATGTACTGAACGGGGTGAGAATAGCTTGAGCTACCTCATCCCTTTGTGTGTATTTTACCTCAATAAACTTATTTCAATTTCAATTTCAATGTCAACATTAAATTGGTTATTGATGTATGCAATTGAGGTTCAAATGAGTGTCTAAAGTGCACGAATGCAGTGAAGTAATTCATTTATTCATTTTTCAACATGCTTGAAGTAACCCTTCATCATGGAATATGTCGTATTCTTACATTCTTGCAAAGCCATTAACACGCATAGCATTGGGGGGTAGAATTCAGATAGTTGAGTACCAGGTAGTGTATTTCAGCTGTAACAACAGCATCTACACCCATACATTGATTAAAATACATTGATTAAATGATAAAATAAAGGAAAACACTAATAAATGAAAAGAAATTGAGACGGGGGTTGTGCACACACACACACACACACACACACACACACACACACACACACACACACACACACACACACACACAAGAGAGACCTCTGGCCATAAGGCCTATGGTGGGTATGTGGGCCTGCGGGCCGCTCCAAGCAACAGCCTGTTGGACCAAACTCTCACAAGTCAAGCCTGGCCTCAGGCCGGGCTCGAGGAGTAGACGAACTCCCAGAACCCCATCAAGCAGGTATCCATCATGTATCCAGCAGGTATCCGGCAGATATCCAGCAGATATCCAGCAGGTATCCACCAGATATCCACCAGGTATCCACCAGATATCCACCAGGTATCCACCAGGTATCCAGCAGATATCCACCAGATATCCAGCAGATATCCAGCACATATCCACCAGGTATCCAGCAGATATCTAGCAGATATCCAGCAGGTATCCAGCATGGGTCGTCTGGCAGGGGGGCGCGCTACCCAGGAGAGGGCGGGAGGGAGGACAGCCGGCAGCAAGCCACTGGCCGCCGCCCGCCCGTCCACTGGCTTACAGCTTGACTCAAAGCTTTCCCCAGCCTAAATTCTTGCTCTTCCTCCGCCACACTTTCGATAATTTGCTTCATTACTGACAATCAGATCACTTGGCTGCCTGCCATTCCGATAAGAGATTGTGATGTGCCGTCATTGTGGTGATACCTGATACATTTACGCTCAATTTAAGAATTATCTTTTACATAAGGATTCTGAAAGTTTTTTCTTAATTGACAGGATTCAGTTATGATGAATTGCTGAGAGAACTTAATCTCAATATGTTGGAGGAGCGGCGAACCAGGGGGGAGATATGATAACAACGTACAAGATATTAAAGGGAATTGCCAGAGTGCAAAAAGAGGTCATGTTTAAAAAAAGATATAGATGGATTAGAGGCTTCTTATGGATGCTTGAGTTACACATGAGTCGTCGAAATGTCAAAAACTTCTCCCTTCGTATAATATTTAAAAATATATATATTAGCATTTCAGAACGGATTGTAGAGACGAATTCAGTACGAAGTTACACAAGAAAATACACATACGCACACGGAAACACACATATGGAAGCAGACTCCATACACAGTTTCAAGTGTAGATATGATAGAGCCCAATAGGCTCAGGAACCTGTACATCAGTTGATTGACAGTTGAGAGGCGGGACCAAAGAGCCAGAGCTCAACCCCCGCAAGCACAACTAGGTGAGTAGGTGTGCTAGACTCCAGCTGTACAATTAGAGTCGTAAATTAGTGGAACGGCCCAGAAAAAATTATCAAGGCCAAATCACCACACAGTTTTAAGTATAAATATAATAAGAAAACATGTGAAAAAGATGAGTTGAACTACTGATGAAGACGATGAGTCCCAATAACATGGCTGATGATATAATGGTTATCTTGAGGTTATCTTGAGATGATTTCGGGGGTTAACGTCCCCGCGGTGCGGTCCTCGACCAGGCCTCCTCTTTTTGTTACACACCCCCAGGAAGCAGCCCGTAGCAGCTGTCTAACTCCCAGGTACCTATTTACTGCTAGGTGAACAGGGGGCAACAGGGATGAAAGACACATTTTAGCCCATTTGTCTCCGCCTCCACCGGGGATCGAACCCGGAGCCTTAGGACTACGAATCCGAAGCGCTGTTCTAAAGGTAACTGCAGAAAGCTTATATTAGCCCATACTAGGAAGCTCCTAAAAGAAGAGGCGGAGCTTGAAAGCTGAAGCTCGACTCTCCAGGACCATCTATGTGAGTACACGGAGTTGAGTACAGACCATCCATCAACCAGCGACCCGTATATACAATCCTCGTCTACTCGCCTGCAAATTGGTCGTCACGGTATGCTGAGTCCTGGTGGTCTCTTCACCCACTTGTGCCTGGATCTGTGTCTCTTCTGGCTGACACATTTGTGTGTGTGTGTGTGTGTGTGTGTGTGTGTGTGTGTGTGTGTGTGTGTGTGTGTGTGTGTGTGTGTGTGTGTGTGTGTTCACCTAGTTGTGTTTGCGAGGGTTGAGCTTTGCTCTTTCGGCCCGCCTCTCAACTGTCAATCAACTGTTTACTAACTACTGTGTGTGTGTGTGTGTGTGTGTGTGTGTGTGTGTGTGTGTGTGTGTGTGTGTGTGGCTGACACACGTGTGTGTTATGGTGGATATGTGGGCCTGCGGGCCGCGACAAGCAACAGCCTGTTATATCAAGTTACCACAAGACAAGCCTGGAGTAGAACAACTCTCACAACCCACTACAGGTATACTCCAGGTTAAACTCCAAGGTCATTTTACTTATCACATTAGTGACAATCCCTCAAGACTTTAATGATTAAATAAAATGTTGCCAATGTATTGTATGAATTCCTAATTGTATGAATCCTTAATTGTATTAATCTTTAATTGTATGAATCCCGATGAAATTGTATGAGGAGCCGGTGGCTGAGCGGACAGAACACTGGACGCGTAATCCTGTGGTCCCGGGTTCGATCCCGGGCGCCGGCGAGAAAAGATGGGCAGAGTTTCTTTCACCCTGATGCCCCTGTTACCTAGCAGTAAATAGGTACCTGGAAGTTAGTCAGCTGTCACGGGCTGCTTCCTGGGGGTAGAGGCCTGGTCGAGGACCGGGCCGCGGGGACACTAAAGCCCCGAAATCATCTCAAGATGATGAAAGGAAGTATAATCACACAGGTATGATATAACTCAACCAAGGACGCGACGCATTAGTCAGCGTTCAAAAAGTACTATTAACGTTTTCTATGAATCGACCTGATAGTGTGCAGTGTCTCTGATGGGTAATATATATATTATATCAAAATACTACGCCCAAGATTACCATCAGAGTGCCGGCGGGCTGATGGGCAAAATAGCCTCTGCTACCATCAGCTTTTGACTGGTCGTGATGGTCGAGTGGATTAAGGTGTCCTGTACACACCAGTTGCATTGTGCTCCTGGCAGTATGGGTTCGAGTCACTTCTGGGGTGTGAGTTTTCAGTTGCATATAGTCCTGGGGACCATTCAGGCTTGTTCGCATATTATATAAAAAGTATGTGATAACTTAGGTTTTAGAGTGAAGGAAACTGTTTTGGGAGAGAGAGAGAGAGAGAGAGAGAGAGAGAGAGAGAGAGAGAGAGAGAGAGAGAGAGAGAGAGAGAGAGAGAGAGAGAGAGAGAGAGAGAGAGAGAGAGAGAGAGAGAGAGAGAGAGAGAGAGAGAGAGAGAGAGAGAGAGAGAGAGAGAGAGCGAGAGAAGTCCGGGGCCGAGAGAGAGAGAGAGAGAGAGAGAGAGAGAGAGACAGAGAGAGAGAGAGAGAGAGAGAGAGAGAGAGAGAGAGAGAGAGAGAGAGAGAGAGACAGAGAGAGAGAGAGAGAGAGAGAGAGAGAGAGAGAGAGAGAGAGAGAGAGAGAGAGAGAGAGAGAGAGAGAGAGAGAGAGAGAGAGAGAGAGAGAGAGAGAGAGAGAGAGAGAGAGAGAGAGAGAGAGAGAGAGAGAGAGAGAGAGAGAGAGAGAGAGAGAGAGAGAGAGAGAGAGACAGAGAGAGAGAGAGACAGAGACAGAGAGAGACAGAGAGAGAGAGAGAGAGAGAGAGAGAGAGAGAGAGAGAGAGAGACAGAGAGAGAGAGAGAGACAGAGAGAGAGAGAGAGAGAGAGAGACAGAGAGAGGGAGGGTTGAAGTAACAAACTGTTGATGAGAGAAAGTGTTATTTCATCTTTATTACCTTTATCTATATATACAGGAAGGTACATTGAGTTGTGTGAATACGTAATATCAGTGTTCTTACGTTCACGAATACAAACAAACAGAGGCAACAGGAACACACTACATAACGGGCAGAACAATAAACAGGTATCCCAACAGAGCACCACACCTCCCCAGCAGCACAGCTAGACAACAGAGACAATAACTCACCATTAACGGCAGTAGGGGACTGTTTTAACAGGCAACAGGAGCTGGGAGACTTGAACTCTCAATAAGAAGTGATCCATGTTCCTCTTAATCTTTGTATCGTAAAGTAATATAACTCGAATTTTGTGGTAGTGAGGAAAGGTGCATGGCTGGGATTTCCTTGGTCTCTGGTTCGAGTCACCTTATTTCTCTATTGATTTTCTCAATAATAATAATAATAATTTTCACTTAAAAATACACAAAAGAATAATATATTGAATAAGTCAATAGTGGCTTTAGGGATAGTATGTACTAGCTCTATCTATAAATCCATCAACTTTTGTATCTTACCTTGTATGTATGTACCTTACATGAATAAAAATTTATTTATTATTATTTATTTAAAATATACAGGAGTTATCTTGAGATTATTTCGGGGCTTAGCGTCCCGGCGGCCCGGTCCTCGACCAGGCCTCCTCTTTGTTACACACCTCTAGGAAGCAGCCCGTAGCAGCTGTCTAACTCCCAGGTACCTATTTACTGCTAGGTGAACAAGGGGCATATCAGAGTGAAAGAAAGTTTGCCCATTTGTTTCCGCCTCCACCGGGGATCGAACCCGGAACCTCAGGACTAGTGAACAGTTGATAGTGAACATTGCTAAAGAGTAGAAACACAGGTTTTTAGGGGTGGTGGTGGCTGAGTGGACAGCGCTCTAGACTCGTGGACCTAGGGACCGGGGTTCGATCCCCGGCGCCGCCGGAAAAACAAATGGGCAGAGTTTCCTTCATCCCTGATGCCCCCTGTTACCTACCAGTAAATAGGTACCTGGGAGTTAGACAGCTGAAACGGGCTGCTTCCTGGGTGTGTGTGTGGGGGGGGGAGAAAAAAAGTTAGTTAGTAACAGTTGATTGATTGACAGTTGAGAGGCGGGCCGAGATCAACCCCCGCAATCACAACTAGGTGAATACTGGTATTGGAGGATGCTCATATTGGGTAAGTCACTCCTGCAAAAAAGCAAAGTGCATTTTCTAAAACGTTAAATTCTGTACGTTTTCTTTAATTTATTTTACTTTTAGCTATGTCTTCTTCAAATATTTATCCCAACCCAATGCCTGACATTCAAGACCTAACCTAACCTAACCCAACCCAACCCAACCCAACCCAACCTAACCTAACCTAACCTAACCTAACCTAACCCGTCCAGGAAGTCTCTAATTACCCGTACGTCACCCGTCCAATCGGTAGCCAAGAATTCCCCACTCACCTGTCAATTAATCTCCTTTCCGTTCTTAAATACACTGTTTAATTTTACCTGCAGGATTTCAAGAGACAGAATACATCCAATAAACACAAAATTACAATCAATACCAGGTAATATACAGGAGTAAGTTATCGAGGCCAGTGACATCTCTTGGTGGAAATGTAAACAAGGGATACAGAGACTCAGTCGGCCAGCGCTGCGGCGGCGAGTCGAAGTGTCCAATCTTCCAGACGGTCCAACGGGGAGGAAGTGGTCGTTGACAGTGTGTCTAAGACCCTCACATGTGTTTCCTGTGTTGGTGGGCTCGGTGGCGGGTGTTGGGGTGGTGTTGCGTCCCTGTGATGATGCCCTGGGTCATCCTGCTGGTGTTGGAGATGGTAGGTGTTGCGGAGTTATTAATAGGGTTAAATCAGGGCCCAAAACATCGGGTTTTGTTGATTTGTTTACATTTGGACAGGGTCAATGCCACAGCCATTTCGGGTTCGAATCCCGGGCGGGATAAAAATGCTTGCGCACATTTCTTTTCCCCCTAATGCACCTGTTCACCTAACAGCAAGTAGGTTCCCAGGAATTAGTTACTTTATTGTTGAGTTGCATCCTGCGCGGATTCAATATTTCGACCATGGGGACAGGGTGACCTCGATATAAGCCTAACGTGTATGAATACACTCTGGCTTCCTGTCCCCCGACACAATAAATGATTATAATTTACGTAACCACATACGAAACCTGTACATCTTTCCTCAAGCATGGCAACGTTCCTAACATTTGAGTTGAGAAGCAGTAAAGTTGTTTATAGCAATGATAACCTTGGGTGTTGACAGTTTAAGAGTTCGTGATCTGTTTTTAATGCATGAAGTCGCCATGATTAAAGTAAGATGTACAGGTTCCGTATGTGACTTGAGTAAATACTTGATGAATGGGTCTTAGAGCATTACGTTAACAGGTAGTGAAGGTGTTTGACCCCCCACTGTGGTAGGTGAGGGGTGGTTGACCCCCCACTGTGGTAGGTGAGGGGTGGTTGACCCCCCACTGTGGTAGGTGAGGGGTGGTTGACCCCCCACTGTGGTAGGTGAGGGGTGGTTGACCCCCCACTGTGGTAGGTGAGGGGTGGTTGACCCCCCACTGTGGTAGGTGAGGGGTGGTTGACCCCCCACTGTGGTAGGTGAGGGGTGGTTGACCCCCCACTGTGGTAGGTGAGGGGTGGTTGACCCCCCACTGTGGTAGGTGAGGGGTGTTTGACCCCCCACTGTGGTAGGTGAGGGGTGTTTGACCCCCCACTGTGGTAGGTGAGGGGTGGTTGACCCCCCACTGTGGTAGGTGAGGGGTGGTTGACCCCCCCCCACTGTGGTAGGTGAGGGGTGGTTGACCCCCCACTGTGGTAGGTGAGGGGTGGTTGACCCCCCACTGTGGTAGGTGAGGGGTGGTTGACCCCCCCCACTGTGGTATGTGAGGGGTGGTTGACCCCCCCCCACTGTGGTAGGTGAGGGGTGGTTGACCCCCCCCCACTGTGGTAGGTGAGGGGTGGTTGACCCCCCCCCCACTGTGGTAGGTGAGGGGTGGTTGACCCCCCCCACTGTGGTAGGTGAGGGGTGGTTGACCCCCCCCACTGTGGTAGGTGAGGGGTGGTTGACCCCCCACTGTGGTAGGTGAGGGGTGGTTGACCCCCCACTGTGGTAGGTGAGGGGTGGTTGACCCCCCCCCCCAAATAGTGCTGATGGGTCTGAACCTCTATAATGACGTCTTGATTAACTGTGCCACTCACTATCTATCAATCAAACGCTAGCGATATCCTAATAGATAGGGACAGTTGACAGGTGACATATTTACCGATGACTATGGCAATAATTCTGGCCGTTGCGTTCGCGCCATAATCTAATACTGTCATGTTCTATTCAACGATTTATCAGGCATTTGTATCTGCCCTTATCTACCTAATCTATCCAATGTATCTGTCCTTTTCCTCGTCACTACATTGATATGAGGTTTGTGGATGTTGACAGAGGGAATATTTCTATACAATCAGGAACATTGTGTTGCGAGTACATAACATGGGTGTTCCAATCTTGCAAACCAATAGTCGTAGCGTTTCGGGCCGACAATCGCCAGCAATCTTCATGAGCTATCAGACTCTAACTTGGTCGATTCAGGGCCGCTCTCAGCCATCCGAGATATCTGGGGAGAGTCGAGGGGTATCCTCAGATATCCTGCTCTTAGTTACTGATATCCAAAAGGGGGATTAAGGTTAGGTTGAGGGTATGTTGAGGGTATGTTTCTATGTGAAGTAATGGTGTGTGTGTTGACCGGCAGGTGGCGGGGCTGCAGCTGTCGTTGACGGAGGTGGGGGAGGACATGGTCGTCTACGACTATGCAGCTAACAAGCCCCTATGTTATCCCAGCCCGCAGGTGAGCAACATCTAACCAAACAACCACACCTGTCCACCTACGACCACAGGTAAGCAGGAGACCAGGTACACCTGTTCACTGCCCCACATGGAAAGATGTTCTACCATTCGTATGTAAACATATAAGAGACCTACGAGACCTCCCTCGTTGTTCCAAGACAAATGTATTAGTTACCTTCTTGGATATGTATGGTTGTTGCTGGATGGTGGATAATACACGGTTGATCATTTCAGTAGTTGTGTAAGGGAGGGAGGAAGTGGAGGGAAGTAGGGATGTAGCGGCTCGTTTGTTTTTTGGAAAAAGGGTCCGCTGGCGTTTCGAGTTTTCTTATCATTTTTTCAGTTATACCGAAATTTTTCATAGACCATTTTCTGAGAATGTGTTCATAGATGTTAGGAGTTCTTGTGAAGAAATTATTAAAAATGTCAGAGTTCAGTTTTATGAAAATATTTGAGTTCATACAGTCATAGAAGTTTATTTAAGTTTAAGACCGAAATCTTTCAAAGATTATTTTCAGAGATCTTAGAAGTTTTGGTAAGAGTTCTTATGGGAGAAATTCAAAAATTTTCAGAGATCAGTTTTATGAAAATATTTCAGAGTTCGTGTAATCATAGAAGTTTACTTACGAGTGTATGACCGAAATTTTGAAAAAGACCAGTTTCAGAGCATATCTTCATAGAAGTTTTGTTCAGGAAAATAAACATCTTAGCCATGACTTTTAGCCCAGTCCTACGTAGACATGCCACTCTCGGGGCCGAGATGCAGCATCCCTCGACCTGTCCGGCAAATGCAACTTCTGCAGGTAATAGCCCCGTCTCTGTAAAACCTACGGACGGTGCCCCCGGCGTACCTAACCTACTCGGGTCCCGGGTCAGTTGAGGTGGCGGGTAAGTGACGATCAGGGGGAGTGAGGTTGAGTGAGGCCCAACACTTGAAACCCAGGTGGTGGGCGTCGGCCCAGGTGGTGGGCGTGGGCCCAGGTCGTGGGCGTTAGAACTTTTACCGCCTAGATGAGATTAGAACAATAGAAAGGAAAATAAAACCACTTTAATTCACATTTCATTTGTTTTAAATACTGCATATGCTCAGAACAGGTTTTCTATAAAAACTAATGTTATTAAATTGTTTATACTTTCATATTTTAATTTAAAAATTTGGTACGTTTTCCTTGTAAACGGTCCAGAGATAGATACATCTATCTCAAGGGTCCAACCTAGGTTGTCTGACATGCTATGGGTCACACCAGTGGCAAAATATTATAAATTTAGGAGTTCTTTCCTCTGGGGTTCCTCAGTGCCTTCTCTAACAGGGCCGAGAGGCACGGGGGCCTCACCAGGATCCGGTGCCAATGTCACATCTTGGCCCCTTCAGCTGGGTCCTGGCGAACGGCCCCTGTGTTGAGGGCCCCTGTCGTCGGAGGCAGATTAGGAAGGTTGGTCATTTCTGTAGGTGGAAGGTTTTTGGAACTGGAAGTTCTTGGTTGGGACTTGTCATCTTGTCGGAGGTTTGTCACCTTCTGGCACTTTATGGAAGGTCGAAGTGTAATCGTCCGTCGTCCAAGGGCCTGTTATCCAATGTCACATCTTGGATATGTAGTACAGATCCTGTATGTCGGCCGTTATACAGGGACCAGCTATCCTACGCTCCCCCTGTAGGGCGCTCAGCATTCAGGTTCAGATGTAAGCGTCCGCCTTCCACACACCTGCTATCCAAAGTCACATCTTGGATTTCTCTTCACGGGTCGAGGTCGCACGAGCCGCTATACCCACACCTGCTGCGTCTGCTCCCTGCAGGAGTGCTTGTCCTGACCGTCAAACACACCTGACTTGATTGATTTCCTTGATACACTGTTGGAGAGAGATAGACAAATGATTTTAATCAACGTAGACAATATAGAATCCTATATTGACTTTGACAGCTTGAATTTGTTGAAAAGAATACTAGCAAGGCATTAAGATAAGGAGTAAGTACGAGGCTACTTCCACTATACAGCACTTGGAACGGATATGAGGACAAGGAGTTGATATATGAGGACAAGGAATCAGACCGGAGAGGAAGGAACGGTATCCAACCACTTGAACTGTCGGGAATCGAACGCAGACCTGTAATAAGCGAATCCAACGCTATTCCTACCAATCCATATGACTAGTAGAAGATATTCGTATCAGCCGGACATACAACAGAGGAACAACATTTTCAACACAACATAAAGATTAAACATTAGTAATAATATTTTAGATATAAACACTAGACTACACATCACTAATGGAATGACTGGACAAAACACTCGATTCAATGTCTCCTGCTATATTTAATCGCAATCCTCGACGATAGCAGATTGGGGCTTTTAACATGGGTAATCTTTTAGATATCAACCTGTGAAGATGCCGGCCACCCAACGCCCTCTTCAATAGCCTCGAGGACCAGATTCTAATGTGGTACAAGGGGGGGGGGCGCTGCCCTTGTACTCACCTAGTTGTGCTTGTGTGGGTTGAGCTTTCTCTTTGGTCCCGCCTCTCAACTGTCAATCAACAGGTGTACAGGTTCCTCAGCCTACTGGGCTCTATCATATCTACATTTGAAACTGTGTATGGAGTCAGCCTCCACCACATCACTGCCTAATGCATTCCACCTGTTAACTACTCTGACACTGAAAAAGTTCTTTCTAATGTGTGTGTGTGGCTCATTTGGGTACTCAGTCTCCACCTGTGTCCCCTTGTTCGTGTACCACCAGTGTTAAATAGTTTCTGTCCACCCTTTGTCCATTGGGTCGTTAACGTGCAGAGATCCTTTACTGCTAGAATCCACTCGGTAAAACATCTAAACTATTGGGACCGACTAAAGAGCCTAAATCTGTATTCTCTTGAGCGCAGGCGAGAGAGATACATAATAATTTACACGTGGAAAATATTAGAGGGGCTGGTCCCAAACCTGCACACAGAAATAACATCACACGAGACCAGGAGGCATGGCAGGATGTGCAGAATACCCCCGTTGAAAAGCATAGGTGCAATAGGTACTCTGAGAGAGAACTCTATCAACATCAGAGGCCCGAGACTGTTCAACACGCTTCCACTACACATAAGGAACATAACTGGCCGACTCCTCAGTGTTCAAGAGAACTCTATAAGCGCTTCCAAAGGATACCTGATCAACTAGTCTGTGACTCATACGTCAGCTGCGAGCAGCCGCGTCCAACAGCCTGGTTGACCAATCCAGCAACCAGGAGGCCTGGTCGAGGACCGGGCCGCGGAGACGCTAAGAAATCATCTCAAGGCAAGATATCCCTATCCAATTCTCCTAAGAATTTTGTAGGTGGTGATCATATCTTCCCTTAATGTCCTGTCTTCCAGGGAAGGGAGGTTCAGCTCCCTTAGCCTTTCCTCGTAGCTCATACCTCTCATTTCTGGGACTAGTCTGGTGGCGTACCTATGAATAGTGTCACCCCCCAGTGTGGCACAAGGGGGGGGGGGGGCGCTGCCCCTTGTGGTACAAGGGGTCCTGATTCAGTTTATGAACCGGATAACCGGATTACTTTCAGATCATAAACACCTACGAACCGAAATAGAATCAAATCTTGCAAATTTCAAATGCTACTCACCATAACCCTGATGACTATATTGATGTGTTGCATGGTGTTGAATGTTAAATGTTGCCGTTACCACACACAACAACATATTCTGTGTTATCAGGAGTGATGTACTCCCTCCCCCTGTCACGAGAGCACTGTTCATCTCAGCAGGAGGCCGGCCTCTATATAACACCTCCAGGGATGCCAGAATTTCTAGCGTTCAGTTGCTTTGTTTACATGTTACAAATGGTCCTATGACTAGTGTCAGGATGTCTAAATGCGTTTCTTTAACTGAAAGTTACTGAAAAGTAGATTGAGAAGAGCGCACCTCACTAAGACTGTCATTTAGTGCGACGTGGAGGCTTCTCCAGCCGGGCCTGACCCGTCGTAGCTTAAGGGTTGCGTCAGTGACTTCCACCACTCATGCAGAGTCAGCAGTGTTTGTGTGTAGGGGGAGGGGGTCAACGCTCCTGCAAAAGCTCATGGCCTTATAAGGTGAACATTGACCGGATTAATAGCTTTACGTATCCTGGCTCGTCTTAAGTGTGTACACGATTTAAGCTGTAGTGTGTCGCAATACCTCTACAGGTTCATGAACATGGACCTACTGAAAACTAAATATGGCGCATTCATTGAGAGAAACGTTTGGAAAGGCTTCTGAAAAACATAATAATTGTTGCATTGACAAACTTGCAACGCGTTTAACACGTGCTTGGCAGGTATACTAGTATCTAGTATTAACAAGTGGATTAATTTATGATTAGGACTATCAAATTTGTCTTTATTCAGACTCTAATTTAACAGTTTGTGCGCGCGCGGGCGCTTGTGTGTAGCCACCTTGCTGTGCTTGCTGGGGGGTTGAAACCTCAGCTCCTGGGTCCCACCTCTTGAGTGGTGTATTCATGCCTAAATCCTCTGGCTGCTGTAATATTGGTGTGTTAATAAATGCACGACTTCCATTCTGCTACTAAAATTCTCTCTAACCTGCTACTGGAGACCTTTACCATGTTTCTGTAGCCTTTGAGAGCACCTTTACCTGAAGGTGTGTGTGGTGGAGGATTGTTGACGCATCAAACTTGTCTTAGGGATTTGTTAATGCATCATCTCGGGTCCATAGACATCATGTCTAACACCTGTTGGTTGGGTTAGATTTAGCTCATTCCATCTTCAGAGTGGACACACTGACCACTATCAGTGTGTCGGAACACTTGATACTGTCTACCATTAGAGCTTCCTGTACTAACTATAGAACCAGGCAAGAGTAGGTTGTACAGTACTAAATTGAAAGAGGAACTAACGGATAGGAAACAGAAAGCAAGAAACTCCATAAGGAGATTCATCAGTGGGATCCCAAGAGGATCTGTGCTGGATGGATCCCATGGTATTTAGTGTACTTTCTCCAAGTCTGCTTCTTCCTTGTATCCCTCCTTATTTCCCCTTATTTTTAAGCAGTTCACAATTGATTGGTCCTGGGTTTGATTCCCGGACAGTACAAGGTGCCTGGCACGGTGTCTTACACAGGTTTAATCTAGCAGTAAAAAAAATACCTGGGATTTATACAACTGTTGTGGGTTGTATCCTGTGAAATGCCAGTCGTTGGCTTTGACTCCAGGTGGACCTCCATAGGTGAAGGTCCTATGGAGGTGGACCTCCATAGGTGGAGGTGGACCTCCATAGGTGGAGGTCCTATGGAGGTGGACCTCCATAGGTGGAGGTCCTATGGAGGTGGACCTCCATAGGTGGAGGTCCTATGGAGGTGGACCTCCATAGGTGAAGGTCCTATGGAGGTGGACCTCCATAGGTGGAGGTCCTATGGAGGTGGACCTCCATAGGTGGAGGTCCTATGGAGGTGGACCTCCATAGGACTAACAAGCATCCTGATCGCTATAACGAGAACCCAGTTATACTGATACCATATTTGGTAAATATTTAGGAATGTTTTGCTAGGATTAAGTCCCTAAGGATATAAGTAGTAATACTTTTATGACTAGAGTTTATTGAACACTTGACATCTTACATGAATTACAATTATGTAATGCACAGATACATTTAGTATGGCTGTAGTTTCTTTACATTGATGCAATTAGTCTTACAATTACTAATTAATACAAAAGTAGTAATTATCATTTTGATTTTCCTTTAAATATTTTTAGTATTGAAAAATCATTCAGAGGAAGGTTGACTGGCTGCTCGAATGAAGAATTTGACGACCAATTCAAGACAGTTCCCGGTTTTTGACTAAAGTAACAGCCTTGATCTATGATACGATATCCTTGATCTGATACGTTATTCCGGGCTTGTAAATGATAATTTTGGACGTTATCAAGCCTGATCGTTCGATATACCAGGACCAAAAGTGCGCCGCGATGTCTTGGGATCTTCCATGTTGCTCTCCCTGGATCTTGGGATACAAGTCTGGGGTGTCGCGTCCGTTCTGCCAGAACTTACTGCCAAAGTCGCATTATGGCATTTGTTGTAGGTCCCAGTGAGGTCGTCCGCTCCACCCAGCCTTGTAGCCAGACCAGACACACTTGTTGCTGGGAAGGTGTTTACTCTCTGATAGACATCACTTTTTCTTTCGGAAGTCTCCCTTTGGCGCACTACGGTAGGTCGAAGTGTAATCGTCCGTCGTCCAAGGGCCTGTTATCCAATGTCACATCTTGGATATGTAGTACAGATCCTGTGTGTCGGCCGTTATACAGGGACCAGCTATCCTACGCTCCCCCTGTAGGGCGCTCAGCATTCAGGTTCAGATGTAAGCGTCCGCCTTCCACACACCTGCTATCCAAAGTCACATCTTGGATTTCTTTTCACGGGTCGAGGTTGCACGAGCCGCTATACCCACACCTGCTGCGTCTGCTCCCTGCAGGAGTGCTTGTTTGATCAGGATGCCGAACAGATCAGACTTGGTATCCCCATCTGATGGTCTGTTGAGGAATATGGAATTAATAGTCTGTCCTGCCAATGTGGCATTACCATAAAAAACTAGATTGGTTTTCTTTAACAGAAAATCAAGGGGAGACTATGGAGTATTGAAAACGTTAGTTGGAGAGCAGAATACAACAAGAATATATTGGAATAAGAGATAATGGGAAGTTAAAATGTCAAGTTTCAGAATCATAATAGGACGTTTCTAATAAAATAATATCAAATATTCAACTGAAATAATTGGCACTATACAAGTTTCAGTGTTTTTGAAACATCGGAGTTTTTTCACCAGGTTAAATCTCACCTTGAAGGAACCGTCCGGAATATCTCCGGTGGGGAGTAGTCTTGGGGATCTTCCCAGCCTCCCCCATTCATCTGTCTTCGAATGAGCATTGTGGAGATGAAGATGGGAAGCCAGGGAGGGTAGGAGGGGTTCTTCTGTTTCCCTATCCTACCTACTGATTGTTCGACGTTGTTGGTCCTGATTGGCGGCCGGCAAGCTCTGTGTACCCGATGGTTCCCCATCAGGTGACGGTGTGACGGGCGTCTACTACCTGTCCACGGCAAAAAAATAAAATATTCAAAGATCTTATAAATTTGTCGGATAACGAATGAATCAATGAATTATATTTCCATACCTTTTTTTTAACATTGCTTTTCATGTACATTTTTTCTCGTGTCTAAGATTCATTTCGGTCAATTATCATTCTAAATTTAGCAGTCTGAAAGGACATGGTTTGACTTGAAGATCAACACTTTCACTCCAGAGTGGGATTAGACTTTCTTTACGGGTCAGACTTGCTTAACTGCTCTACACTTCAATGACTAATTGACATTAACGGCTTGTCATCAAGTGATTCCTCTTAACGGGGTCTCTGTACAGCATCACTTCCTCAAGCTTGGAATAGGGAATTATCAGGGGAAAGCGCCAAGCCATCACGACTATATAGCACTGGGAAGGGGGGTCAGGATAAGGATTTGGGATGGGACGGTGGGGAAGGAATGGTGCCCAAGCACTTGTGGACGGTCGGGGATTGAACGCCGACCTGCATGACTTTAGGGAAGAGGTTGTTTACCTGAAGATGTGACTGTGTGGTTGTGGTCGTCGTGGAGAAGTGCCGCGTGATGCGGCAATGACAGGAGAGTCATTGATCCCTGGAACACACAACAATACATATGGTTACTTTTCACGGCTTAAAAAAAATGGAAATCAGTCTAGATTTTTTTTAGCTAATTATAATTTTTTTTTATCTGAAGCTTGACTGAATTTGCATATATTTCGGTATTGTTATATATATTTCAGTTTGAAACGGCATCAAAGTGTCCGTCTTATATTGTGTGATTAACAGGAAAGCTTAAAAAAAATCACTGTGCAATTAATTAAAAAATGTGATTTTACAATCACATTCTTCAGAAACTTTTTTTTCCCCACTTACCTTGTGAACATAAATCCAAGTTAGTTAATAAACGATGAACGCAAAATTCCACCCGTTCTGCCAAATTAACTGTCACCCACTCCCCAAAAGAAGTGTAGACCTAGCTACTGACACGTCTGGGAGGTTACTGGTTCCTCCAGCCGGCCTCCTGGCCTTTTATACCCTCTGGCCGAGCAGGGTTGCCACACACTCCTTATTTCACGTCTCTGAGAATTCTTCCGCTCTAAATCAACCGAGAAAAAACCACTTCACTTGAAGAGCTCGTTATTTAAACATTTAGTTAAGTGCTATTACATCACTTGGTAAATATTTGTCAAGGGTTTGTGTAATTTCAAGCTATGGTGCAATAATGGGGGGAGAGTAAGGGGGAAATGGGGGTGTTCTTGGCGTCACGGCAGCTCGGAGAGATTCCTTTCGGGGAATTCCAGCTGCGCGGGCCCTAAGCCTGTGGCTGGCCCACTGGGCGGGCCCTAAGCCTGTGGCTGGCCCACTGGGCGGGCCCTAAGCCTGTGGCTGGCCCACTGGGCGGGCCCTAAGCCTCTGGCTGGCCCACTGCGCGGGCCCTAAGCCTCTGGCTGGCCCACTGGGCGGGCCCTAAGCCTCTGGCTGGCCCACTGGGCGGGCCCTAAGCCTCTGGCTGGCCCACTGCGCGGGCCCTAAGCCTCTGGCTGGCCCACTGGGCGGGCCCTAAGCCTCTGGCTGGCCCACTGGGCGGGCCCTAAGCCTCTGGCTCCACTGGGCGGGCCCTAAGCCTCTGGCTGGCCCACTGGGCGGGCCCTAAGCCTCTGGCTGGCCCACTGCGCGGGCCCTAAGCCTCTGGCTGGCCCACTGGGCGGGCCCTAAGCCTCTGGCTGGCCCACTGGGCGGGCCCTAAGCCTCTGGCTGGCCCACTAAGTGTTGCTTGTTTCTGTTTTACTTGGGCGGAGTATGAGTATTTATGACTCGTATGGTCGCTTCAGTAAGATTTTGTCCCATGTGTTTAACAACTTCTTCTGCTCTGTTGAATCTAAGTTGAAATCTTAATGGGTTTGTAACTGTGCACTGTGTTAGATAATGTTCCAGTGGTCTGTTGTGGCTGTAACTGTGCACTGTGTTAGATAATGTTCCAGTGGTCTGTTGTGGCTGTAACTGTGCACTGTGTTAGATAATGTTCCAGTGGTCTGTTGTGGCTGTAACTGTGCACTGTGTTAGATAATGTTCCAGTGGTCTGTTGTGGCTGTAACTGTGCACTGTGTTAGATAATGTTCCAATGTAACTGTGCACTGTGTTAGATAATGTTCAAGTGGTCTGTTGTGGCTGTAACTGTGCAGTGTTAGTGTTCCAGTGGTCTGTTGTGGCTGTAACTGTGCACTGTGTTAGATAATGTTCCAGTGGTCTGTTGTGGCTGTAACTGTGCACTGTGTTAGATAATGTTCCAGTGGTCTGTTGTGGCTGTAACTGTGCACTGTGTTAGATAATGTTCCAGTGGTCTGTTGTGGCTGTAACTGTGCACTGTGTTAGATAATGTTCCAGTGGTCTGTTGTGGCTGTAACTGTGCACTGTGTTAGATAATGTTCCAGTGGTCTGTTGTGGCTGTAACTGTGCACTGTGTTAGATAATGTTCCAGTGGTCTGTTGTGGCTGTAACTGTGCACTGTGTTAGATAATGTTCCAGTGGTCTGTTGTGGCTGTAACTGTGCACTGTGTTAGATAATGTTCCAGTGGTCTGTTGTGGCTGTAACTGTGCACTGTGTTAGATAATGTTCCAGTGGTCTGTTGTGGCTGTAACTGTGCACTGTGTTAGATAATGTTCCAGTGGTCTGTTGTGGCTGTAACTGTGCACTGTGTTAGATAATGTTCCAGTGGTCTGTTGTGGCTGTAACTGTGCACTGTGTTAGATAATGTTCCAGTGGTCTGTTGTGGCTGTAACTGTGCACTGTGTTAGATAATGTTCCAGTGGTCTGTTGTGGCTGTAACTGTGCACTGTGTTAGATAATGTTCCAGTGGTCTGTTGTGGCTGTAACTGTGCACTGTGTTAGATAATGTTCCAGTGGTCTGTTGTGGCTGTAACTGTGCACTGTGTTAGATAATGTTCCAGTGGTCTGTTGTGGCTGTAACTGTGCACTGTGTTAGATAATGTTCCAGTGGTCTGTTGTGGCTGTAACTGTGCACTGTGTTAGATAATGTTCCAGTGGTCTGTTGTGGCTGTAACTGTGCACTGTGTTAGATAATGTTCCAGTGGTCTGTTGTGGCTGTAACTGTGCACTGTGTTAGATAATGTTCCAGTGGTCTGTTGTGGCTGTAACTGTGCACTGTGTTAGATAATGTTCCAGTGGTCTGTTGTGGCTGTAACTGTGCACTGTGTTAGATAATGTTCCAGTGGTCTGTTGTGGCTGTAACTGTGCACTGTGTTAGATAATGTTCCAGTGGTCTGTTGTGGCTGTAACTGTGCACTGTGTTAGATAATGTTCCAGTGGTCTGTTGTGGCTGTAACTGTGCACTGTGTTAGATAATGTTCCAGTGGTCTGTTGTGGCTGTAACTGTGCACTGTGTTAGATAATGTTCCAGTGGTCTGTTGTGGCTGTAACTGTGCACTGTGTTAGATAATGTTCCAGTGGTCTGTTGTGGTTGTAACTGTGCACTGTGTTAGATAATGTTCCAGTGGTCTGTTGTGGTGTGTAACTGTGCACTGTGTTAGATAATGTTCCAGTGGTCTGTTGTGGCTGTAACTGTGCACTGTGTTAGATAATGTTCCAGTGGTCTGTTGTGGCTGTAACTGTGCACTGTGTTAGATAATGTTCCAGTGGTCTGTTGTGGCTGTAACTGTGCACTGTGTTAGATAATGTTCCAGTGGTCTGTTGTGGCTGTAACTGTGCACTGTGTTAGATAATGTTCCAGTGGTCTGTTGTCTGTAACTGTGCACTGTGTTAGATAATGTTCCACTGTGCACTGTGTTAGATAATGTTCCAGTGGTCTGTTGTGGCTGTAACTGTGCACTGTGTTAGATAATGTTCCAGTGGTCTGTTGTGGTTGTAACTGTGCACTGTGTTAGATAATGTTCCAGTGGTCTGTTGTCTGTAACTGTGCACTGTGTTAGATAATGTTCCACTGTAACTGTGCACTGTGTTAGATAATGTTCCAGTGGTCTGTTGTGGTTGTAACTGTGCACTGTGTTAGATAATGTTCCAGTGGTCTGTTGTGGCTGTAACTGTGCACTGTGTTAGATAATGTTCCAGTGGTCTGTTGTGGCTGTAACTGTGCACTGTGTTAGATAATGTTCCAGTGGTCTGTTGTGGTTGTAACTGTGCACTGTGTTAGATAATGTTCCAGTGGTCTGTTGTGGCTGTAACTGTGCACTGTGTTAGATAATGTTCCAGTGGTCTGTTGTGGCTGTAACTGTGCACTGTGTTAGATAATGTTCCAGTGGTCTGTTGTGGCTGTAACTGTGCACTGTGTTAGATAATGTTCCAGTGGTCTGTTGTGGCTGTAACTGTGCACTGTGTTAGATAATGTTCCAGTGGTCTGTTGTGGCTGTAACTGTGCACTGTGTTAGATAATGTTCCAGTGGTCTGTTGTGGCTGTAACTGTGCACTGTGTTAGATAATGTTCCAGTGGTCTGTTGTGGCTGTAACTGTGCACTGTGTTAGATAATGTTCCAGTGGTCTGTTGTGGCTGTAACTGTGCACTGTGTTAGATAATGTTCCAGTGGTCTGTTGTGGTTGTAACTGTGCACTGTGTTAGATAATGTTCCAGTGGTCTGTTGTGGCTGTAACTGTGCACTGTGTTAGATAATGTTCCAGTGGTCTGTTGTGGCTGTAACTGTGCACTGTGTTAGATAATGTTCCAGTGGTCTGTTGTGGCTGTAACTGTGCACTGTGTTAGATAATGTTCCAGTGGTCTGTTGTGGCTGTAACTGTGCACTGTGTTAGATAATGTTCCAGTGGTCTGTTGTGGCTGTAACTGTGCACTGTGTTAGATAATGTTCCAGTGGTCTGTTGTGGCTGTAACTGTGCACTGTGTTAGATAATGTTCCAGTGGTCTGTTGTGGCTGTAACTGTGCACTGTGTTAGATAATGTTCCAGTGGTCTGTTGTGGGCTGTAACTGTGCACTGTGTTAGATAATGTTCCAGTGGTCTGTTGTGGTTGTAACTGTGCACTGTGTTAGATAATGTTCCAGTGGTCTGTTGTGGCTGTAACTGTGCACTGTGTTAGATAATGTTCCAGTGGTCTGTTGTGGCTGTAACTGTGCACTGTGTTAGATAATGTTCCAGTGGTCTGTTGTGGTTGTAACTGTGCACTGTGTTAGATAATGTTCCAGTGGTCTGTTGTGGCTGTAACTGTGCACTGTGTTAGATAATGTTCCAGTGGTCTGTTGTGGCTGTAACTGTGCACTGTGTTAGATAATGTTCCAGTGGTCTGTTGTGGCTGTAACTGTGCACTGTGTTAGATAATGTTCCAGTGGTCTGTTGTGGCTGTAACTGTGCACTGTGTTAGATAATGTTCCAGTGGTCTGTTGTGGCTGTAACTGTGCACTGTGTTAGATAATGTTCCAGTGGTCTGTTGTGGTTGTAACTGTGCACTGTGTTAGATAATGTTCCAGTGGTCTGTTGTGGTTGTAACTGTGCACTGTGTTAGATAATGTTCCAGTGGTCTGTTGTGGTTGTAACTGTGCACTGTGTTAGATAATGTTCCAGTGGTCTGTTGTGGCTGTAACTGTGCACTGTGTTAGATAATGTTCCAGTGGTCTGTTGTGGTTGTAACTGTGCACTGTGTTAGATAATGTTCCAGTGGTCTGTTGTGGCTGTAACTGTGCACTGTGTTAGATAATGTTCCAGTGGTCTGTTGTGGCTGTAACTGTGCACTGTGTTAGATAATGTTCCAGTGGTCTGTTGTGGCTGTAACTGTGCACTGTGTTAGATAATGTTCCAGTGGTTCTGTTGTGGTTGTAACTGTGCACTGTGTTAGATAATGTTCCAGTGGTCTGTTGTGGCTGTAACTGTGCACTGTGTTAGATAATGTTCCAGTGGTCTGTTGTGGCTGTAACTGTGCACTGTGTTAGATAATGTTCCAGTGGTCTGTTGTGGCTGTAACTGTGCACTGTGTTAGATAATGTTCCAGTGGTCTGTTGTGGCTGTAACTGTGCACTGTGTTAGATAATGTTCCAGTGGTCTGT